GAAGACAACCTTTCATATAGAAGCCCACCAAATATTGAACTACTTCTCCATGAATTCTTAGAAAGAGGAAAATAATAAAACCAAAAGCAGAAATCAATGAACCAGGAGAGGAAAACAAACTGTGTGGAGGAAATCAATAAAAATGTGTTCCCTTAAAAGATCGATAAGGAACATTAAAGGAATAGTAAGAAAAATGTTACACCAATAAATTGGATGACTTAGATGTCATGCAAAACTTGAAAACCAACAACCACCCACGTTCATTCATAAAGGAATGGTACCTAAATACCCTCATACCAGTTGTTGTTGTTAGGTGTCATTGAGTCAAGTATGACTGATAGCAACTTTATGAACAGTTGACCTGAACCCTGCCCTGTCCTGTGCCATCCTCATCATCTCTGAGACACTGGAGTCCATTGCTGAAGTCACTCTGTCAACCCATTTCATTGCAGGTTTTTCTGTCCTTCGCTGACCCTCCACCTTTCTAAGAATGATGCCCCTTTCCCAGCTACATGTCCAAAGTATGGAAGACAAAGCTAGTTACAATTTTTCCAAGACATACTGGTTTGTTCTTTTGGCAGTCTGTAGGCTATTCAATATTTTTCTCCAGCACCACAACTCAAAGGCATCAATTCTTCACCTGTCGGATATCCTTATTCACTGTCCACCTGTCTGATCCATTGCAAGTGGTTGAGAATACCACGTCCTGAATTATATCAATTAAAGACATTAAATTCAGAATTAAAATCTGTCTCACAAAGAAAACTGCAGGTCCAGATAATTTCAGCAGTGAATTCTACAAAACACTTTAGAAAACAGAAAGAAGGAATACTTTCCAGTTGAAGTTATGAGGCTATAAATACTGAGTATGTTTTACTACCTAAAAACAAGATAAAGGCTGTATAATAAATAAACAGGCAAATAAATATCCCTTACATATATACAAAAATCCTTAAATTCTAAATTGTGTTTTTTAGAAAAGGGAGGATAGGAGTGACAACATGTGAGACTGGGAAATGTATTGTTATCAACTTTCCAGTTCCTTTTGAACTAGAAGAAAACCTGCATGTATCATTTTGATTGGGGAGCTCTGGTGACCCATTGGTTAGGGGTTGTGCTGCCAACCTAAAGGCACTAAGTTCAAATTCACCAGCTGTTTTGTGAGAGAAAGATAGTAAATACCCTCCTATGTGATATATACAACCTCTAAAAACCCACTGGAAAGTCAGCTATGAGTTGATTCTGATTCTATGGCACAAAATAAAAATTATTTTTATAAGAATTAAGTTTAAAAATTGTTTTACCAATCTTTATTCGTTAAACTTTATGAAATATTCATTTCACCAGTTGTCTTCTTTTGTATATAAACAGAATTTTAAGAAATCAATTATGTTAAAGAGAAATAATCCTCTAGTATCAGTTGGGAAATCATTAAATTATGGATTTATGACCAGTAAGAAATAGACCATAAACTATGGCAGATAAAAGGCCTTGGACCCAAACACTCTGATGGGAGAATGTGAAAATAAAATTATTCTTTAAATAATGCCCCAAGAATAATTATTCATATATTTCCACAGAGCTTCCCTTGGTTCATACAGAAAATATCAGTATAAATATATAATACCACATGCAAGCAAAATCCTGCTAAAGATTATCTTAAAAAGACTAGAATAGTACATTGACAGGAAACTACCAGAAATACAAGCTAGGTGTAGAAGAGAAACACTAGAAACATTATCACCAAAGTTCAGATGGATCCTGGCAGAAAGCAAAGAGTACCAGAGGAATATCTATCTGTGTTTCATGGACTATGCAAAGGCATTTGATGGTGTAGATCACAACAAATTGTGGTTAACCTTGAAGAGAATGGAAATTCAGAACATTTGATTGTGCTTATGAGAAACTTATACTTGAACCAGGAAGCAGTCCTCAGAACAGAGTAGAGGAGAAAACTATATGGTTCAAAATCAGAAAAGGAGTGCATCATGGATGTGTCCCGTCGCCATTCTTTTTCAGTTTATATGTAGAACAAATCATTCAGGAGGCCGGGCTTTATGAGGAGGAATGTGGCATTAGGATTGGAGGAAAACTAATCAACAACCTGCATTATGCAGACTGACACAACCTTGCTGAAACTGAGGAGGAACTGAGGTGCTTGCTGCAGAAGGTCAAGGTCTGTAGTCTTCAATATGAATTGAAGATCAACATCAAGATTCTCACCATTGAGCCAATTGACAGCATCGTGATAGAGTAGAGATTTGAGGTTGTTAATAATTACATCTTGCTTGGCTCCACAATCAACAGTCTTGACACCAGGCAGCCAGGAAATCAAGAGGAATTGCAATGGGAAAATCTGCTGTCTGGGACCTCTCCAGAGCACTGAGAAGTAATGATGCCAGTCTAAAGACTAAGGAGCACCTGATACAGACCATGGTTTTTGCAATTACTTGCTATGCATCAGAGAGCTGGGCAATGACTACGGATGGCAGAATAAGAATCGATGCCTTTGAGTTGCGGTTCTGGAAAAAAGTCTTGAACATACCATGGACCGCCAAAAAAAACAAATCGGTCTTGTTGGAGAGGGTGAAAACTAGTTTCTCCTTGGAGGCTAGGATTTTGAAGCTCCATCTCACATAATCTGGGCATGTAGCCATTAGGGACCAATCCTTGGACGACATCATGATGCTCAGAAGGGTGGAAGGACAGCACAGGAGAGGAAAATCCCAGATGAGATGGATTGATAGACTAACTGAGGCAATGGGGGTAGGTGTGTCAGAGGCTGTGAGACTGGCTCCGGAAAGGGCAGGCTTCAGAACTGTTGTACGTAGGATCCCTATGGTGACTTGATGGCATATAACAGCAACACATACATGAAAAGAGCAACAACAACAACAAAAACCAAAAATGAGAACCATGTGGTGACAGCCATGTCTGATCTTTACTACATAAAGGGGAACTGTCCCTGTTAACAGCATCAATAACACAAAAACAATTACTATAAAGTAAGACATGTCCCCCAAGCTCCCATATCTCGTTCTACTCATCTCAACACCAATCTTTCTGCTTTGCTGGGTCCAAAATCTAATCCAATAACTCACTGACCACACAGAACCATGTTAGGGAAGCCAAAAGGTTATAATCCAGGTTAGTAGCAGACTACAGTGAGGATAGTTCCTGAAATGTGCTCCCAGGCCTCAGCCTGTTAAAAAAATTCCATTTGTTGTTTTAAAATTATCAATATTGCCAATATTGGCTTCCATCCTCATTCTTTACCAGGGTTCTACAGTTCTTGGTCTGGTGGATTACCGTTCCCCACTCCCAGTTGTCCAACAAACTTGGGCTAATGCTCTTAGCTCCAGTTGCAATGGCGCAATGGTCCCAAGGTCCCATCTCACCTCAAATCTCTAGTTTGGCCATGGTTGCTGCTGTTACTGCAGAAGAGTGTCCTACATTATTATCTTGCTTCTTTCTCCTGGGGCAGCCAAGGTCTCATTCTCCTGCTGCTGGATTACTCAATTTACTGGTGAGACTAGCCAATCCCCTTATGGAATTGTGAGATAGCCAATCACAGTGTGGATTGCCCTATTTACATATTCCTGCCCAACCATGTAATGTGAGATTCATGCTGCAGCTAGCTAGACTATATCCACCAAACCCTCCCATCCAATGCATCTTAAAGATGCAAATGTTTCACTAACCTAGGAGCATGACTTTGAACAGGTTCAGTAAACACTACTTCCTCCTTCCACCAGGAAAATGCAGAAAGTTGTGCTTTCACTATGACTGATGAAGATTGTGCATAAAAGGCAAATTGACGCTTCCAACAGGAAAAGGAAAAATGTTGTGAAGAGGTTGGGCTAAAAGAGGCAAGATTTCATCTAACCCATTTCCTGAGCCTTGAATTTCTTTTTTAAAAATTGGCCACCTAATCTTTTTCTTAGTCATCTTTTCTCTAGGCTTATTGGAGGCGTAGACCCTCCTAGCAACCTCCCATCTGCTGGAAAAGGGAACGAAGAGAATGAAAAGTCGTGATGACACATCCTTCACTGGATGAAAATATTAGGGGAAAAGAAATAAAGACACTATTTGCATAAAACCTATCAATGCCCTCTTCACACTAATTAAATGAATTTTACATCACCGAGAGCAGCTGTGTTCGGCCTCTTGTAGTAATGAAGAGTATTTGAAATAATCTGCAAAAGCCACTGCTACTCTCAATTGCCAAGCAACATCACTGACTTCCTTTCAAGAAGAACGCTCTCATGGCTGACCAGACACGCATATCCTTTCAAAGATTCGTCTGTTAGATTTTCCCTCTTGCTATAAACGCTGCTCTGTTTCTCATGTTACTGTTTTTCAAATGCTACTGAAAATCCTTGACATTTCAAATTGCTTTTTAAAAAAAATTCAAACTAGAGCGTTTTCTACTCCCCCCCCCCCCCCCGGGCAACTAACTATACAACCATGAAACAGTTTGATTTGGGGGCTTGTGGGTTGTTTTCTTTTTGGGTTTTTTTTCTTCTGTTTTGGCAATCTCAGTCAGAAGAATCCTTTTCCATATAATAGTAGCCTGTTAAAAAGTGGGAGAAAGAGGTCTCAACGTGTAAATATCTAACAGTGAGATCCGATCTACAAAACTAAGGTTTCCAACTGTGGCGGGGGTAGTGGGGGGTGGGGGGGCGAGGCGGAATGTCACGGCTACAGCCGGAAGAGAATCAGCCAAAACGGGAGGAGGGGGTGTTAGAGAAGGGTGGAGAACAGGAATGATGTGTGCTTCTGAGCGTATAACCCACATTTGAGTAGCAAATGAAGAGGACAGTTACAAAACACAACAAAGCGCAAACCCGCCCCAATCCGACTCCCTTTCTGTTCGTACGCGTTTTCAACTAACTTTCCGAACTTGCAGACAGATTCCCGTCCCGCGCTGCCTCGCCACCACCTTGGTTTCGCGCGCCCTGATCACTCTCTTCCATGCCACGTCTGCATCTGGGCTAAGGATGGATGATTCCTTCGGTTTCTCAACTGTACCACCGGCGCCCAACCTTTCCGCATTCCACTCTTTGAGCTGGAGTCTCAACCTGACTTCTGGGCACGGAGCTCCCGCTCCCGGGGCGCAGCCACTCGGGCTAACCAGAAGTCAAGTCCGCTTGGTTTTCCTCGGGGTCGTCCTAGTGGTGGCGGTAGTCGGCAACGCCATGGTGCTGTGCCGCTTGTGCGGCGGCGCTGGGTCCTGGGCTGGGCCCAAGCGTCGCAAAATGGATTTCCTGCTGGTGCAGCTGGCCCTGGCCGACCTGTACGCGTGCGGAGGCAGCGCGCTTTCGCAGCTGGTGTGGGAACTGCTGGGCGCGCCCGGCCCGGCCTCGGGCGACTTGGCGTGCCGCTCTGAGCAGCTGCTGCAGGCGTCCGGCCGCGGGGCCTCCGCCCACCTAGTGGCGCTCATCGCCCTCGAGCGCC